CGGGGTCGTCGGCGATGGTCCCAGGCCCTCGCCGCGACGTCCATCCATCGGCTCATAGGGCGCATGGTCACATCTCTGGCAGCCGTGCGCGCTGATTGAGCTCTGCGAGGCAACTCAGTGTTGTGGCCAGGTGTCCCCTGGCAAGGATGGCCTCCACATCATAGACCTGCAAGAGGCGTTTGAGGAGTCCATGAGTCCTTCAGGTCCAGGCGGCTCTGTTGTCTTGTCAACGGCGGTCGTGAGGCTCGAAGCGCCAGTTTCACTCCACTGCGATCGCTGCGCGCGATGCCGCGGCAACTCAAGGGGCCGAATTGGCAGCGATGCTGCGTTGCAACATGCATGTGATCGGGCAACGCATGCCCCTGAACGAGATTCCCAAAAGCAACACTGGAGGGGACAGTGGTTTTGTTTTGGAATGGGCATTTGCTCAGATTGACTCGGATTTGTAACATTCTGAAGTTTGATACAGGAGGACCAGCAGAGCAAGCAAGTGAGTGAGCACGCTAAAAGTGTGCCCTTTTGCAGTTCTGTTTGTTGTGTTGTTAGACTCGACAATGTACTTTTCAAAAACAAGAAGCACCGCTTCACACCCTCACTTCTGTCCACATAAATATCTACATTTACGCACGCGCACAGACGGCAGTCTGAGCAGGAACACAAAGCACCCTGAACACAATGGTCTCCCTGGCGTGGCGCAGTTCGCCAGCATTTCATCCCATAGAAACCCGAACTCCTTGCCTTCGGCTAAACAAACCAAAACCTTGCCCGTGGCTTGTGTGGAAGGGCTTGGGGTTCATTTCCTGGCCTCACAGCAGCCCATCATGGAAAACAGCTTGCAGATCCCTGCAGTGGGAGGCTTCGCCTTGACGACCTGCGTCTCCTAAAAAATACGGGCTCAACGGCCAGGCTCCAAGCATGGCCACTATGATCCTCTGCAACAACTAAAGGGAGCAGAGAAATCTCTAACCTGGGTATGGGTCAAAATACAAACCACTCGACCGCATTTAGTCCTTGGTTTCATTTTGGGCGACCTATTTAATGACCCACAGCCACCTCCGTCAGGAGCTTGAGGTGAGCAATCTGGGTTGGTCGGGGAGGTACCACAAAATGTTGGTTGTTCTCCCCCTTTAAACCAACCCCAAAAGTCGCACCCACAAAGAAAGACGAGCACATCTCTGCTCGGCTTGGCTGTCCAAACAAGTCTGCGATGTTAAGGACCTAGCTCGCTTCACAAAAGAAAAAGGATGCGGAAGGCTTGGGCCACGCTTCTCTTGTGAAGGCCCAGGGGTCCAAGGACCTCTTTCGAACAAATCCATCCAGCGTTCCAAGTAGCCCACCAGAAATTGCTATGTGTGCGTGCGATGAAGGTCAGAGTTGAACAGGTCTGAGAGGACAAAAGCGCACTTTCGACCAAGTCGTTTCGGGTCAATTGCATGTCCGCGCTTCAGTCTCTGCTTTAACGTTGACCTGACATTCTTCACTTCGGTCAATCTGTTTGGACATGCTACAAGGCAAGTGGGAAATGATGTCGAAATGTTGACCCCTGATTACTAAACCCCACAGTTCTTAATCAGGGGACCCTCCTGGACAATAAAAACGCCAAAGATCGAGTGACCCGCCTGAGTAAAAACTGGGGGGGGGGGGGGGATCAATCAGGGGCCAACATTAAGAGCCCGGCAGCCCCATCCTCCTTGGGCTGTTGCGGCGGTATCTCCTCCTCCTCCTCTTCCTCATCAAACCTCGGATGTCAGGGCCGCAGTCCTTCTGGTATATGGCGCCTTTGGTTGAAACAAATCCCCAACTGCGGCAAGAACACAAGCTGGAACCCTCGCGGAACTCGTGGAACCTTTGTAGCCTTGCACCTGGCCTGCACCAGACCGCGCCGGAACCTCGGCAACCTTGTTTGCACCAGACCCGGAACCTCCGGAACCTTCCTTGAGCCTTACCCCTGCACCAGACCATCTTGGAACCTCCGGAACCTTCCTTGAACCTTGCACCTGGGCACCACACCACCGCGGAACCTTGCACCTGGCCTGCACCAGTCGCACCAGACCACCCCGGAACCTCTAGAACCTTGCTTGAACCCGACTCCAGAGCTCCCCCAAGCCACCCCCTAAACTGAGACCCCTTAGCTTTCAGCTGTTGGGGGGATTCCAATTCCTGTTTTGAGACAAACCATTTTTTTTGGCAATTCTTCAGAGATCCTCGGATGACCACCCCAGATGGTATCTGGTCAATACCGCAAGTCTCGGATGTATAAAATTTACCCTACCACGCGAATCCCAACCAGGGTGATTCCGCAGTTGCTGAGGGGAGCGGTCCCGGTATGGAGCCAAAAAAGGCCGCAACTGAATGATGAGACGTTAACTAGCTCCTCTAGTAGAGAGGTTAAAATAAGGGTCCCTTTTTTCTGTAGTCTATTTTAGTAGGGGAACCCTCCCCAAAATAAAGGGTAAAAGGGCGTAGTTCACCATTTAGGCGAGTCTTTGCGGAGGCGCTTTCAAAGGTCCACGCCTAAGCCAGTTGCGCTCAAGCCGTCATACTGCCCTTGACCTTGGGCTAAGGTGGCTCTGTAGGATGCTACCTTGCCTGGCAACCATGGCTCGACCAGTTTACCCGCAGGGAATCGGTTGCAAGACCTCAAAGGATTTCCATGTAGGGGCTCAGCCTCTTTTTTTTGGGCTAAAACAAATCCTTGCTGCCAGGAAGCTTGCCGAAAGCTGTCACCTGAGTATTTGTGTCAGGTGTTCCTTTCGACTCATTGGCCGCGTCTGCTGTATGCTGCGGCGTGTGAGGGATGATCTCCTCTGCACTGCGCAGTTCTGTGGGCTCATCAGAGGCAGCCATGGATCGCTGCGAACCGTCCGACCGGTTCCCAGGCAACTTGAGCAAAGCACCCGCGAAGTTCCAAGCTCAGACATCGAAAGCGGGTAACTTGAAAGCCTGTGCAACATGAAACGATATGATAAGAAGGTAACGACATCGGCCGTTTTCGAGAAACCTACCAAGACCCCACACATCGTCGCTACCTTTCAGCTCGGTGCAAAAGGGCGGGCCCGCAAGCTGTGTCATCTAAGAATCTACCTGAGGCCCTGCGAAAAGATTGTCCAGAAGAAATGCAAACAAATACACACACACACACCCATCTGTCGCTAGCGCTTGCCTGTTTTGGGCAAGACAGGTTCAGTTGAGCAAGCCAAAGAGTGAAACTCGTTTTCCCTCCCGAACCCAGAGTTGGCCGTAGACTGCTGGCCACGTGTCACGTCAGGTAGAAACGATGACTGAAGCACTCAAAACCGCCAGCGAAAATCATGGAATCACCTAGCGGCAACACGACCAAACTTGTTGGTTTCTCGTTGGTGTCTCTTTACTTGAGAGCGGTACCACACAAAAACAACACACCCACGTGCAGTGGCACAAAGAATCTTGTTGTATCTAGCTCACTGCATCGCCACGGAGTCGTGGTCCAGTGCAGATATCCAACAAGGGCCAGCTTTGTGCAGGTCCATCCAAAACCAACCCCCTCCGCCTCCATGGGGCCATCGGGCTCCTGGAAAGCACCAGAGGTTGGAGGGACAGCTGGAAAATCGCAAACCCGGGTATGACTCTCATAGGTGGAAAGCCATCTTTCTATCCAGGCGAAGCTCGAACCCTGAAAATAGGCAAAAGGAAGATTGTCTCGGGACCCGTCAGGCTCCTCATATGTTGCTGGGCCAAGGTGGCCGAAATCACTTTCATTTGCTTCTCTGAACCACATGAAACGTTTGCCAATCCTGACTATGTCCCCTACCATCAGCAGACGGAAGGTCTCGAATTTAACTTGGCAGGTTATGGCTCCAATCAAGTCTCTTGCGCAAAACATGCTGCCATGGCTGCATTTGCAAAGAATGCAAAGCTCTGCAAGACTGTAGCAGTCTTATTGCTACATACACCTGATAACAACGTCACAGACACAGACACACGGACACGCAGACACACAGACGCACAGACACACAGACACACAAACACACAAAGACACAAACACAACACACACACACACACACATACAACACACAATGGTGGTGCGCCGTGCACGTTTAGATGCGGGTGCCCTTGGTAACATGTTGAGTGACGGCAGCAGTAGGATGCAGAGTACTTGTGGTTTGATTGAGCAAGAGGTGCACAACCAACAGAAAAAGATCCGACACGCCCGGGTTCCGGGGTCTTCCGGTCGCTGATTAAGAGAAAGACTCCGGGGTGCTTTCGCCAAGAGAATCTGCTCACCTTGAAACAACGACCCGGTGAATTGTTCAGCTCGGCTTCGCTGCCAGTCCACTGAGAAACAGCCAGCCAAACCGCGGCCAGTACATATATGACCGGAAAGTAAACATGTCAAGCATTGATTGATTCCCGCGCACATGTTTACCCCCAAACCCCTGCACCTCGAGAAATCACCAGCTGGAATAAATGCTGTTGGATCCTCGCAATGCGAGTATCAAACACCAAGAAGCTGGGGTGCTAACTTTATCTCTGTATATCTTTGCTGAGCGATGGGCCAGCGAACAGTAGCTTACAACACTTTCCTTGACATAGACAGCATTTCGGGAATTTCATCAGGGATCGACCATTGCTACTGCATGCCATAAAGTTGAGTTCCACTAGGTGTCCAAACACGCCGGAACATGTGGTTCTGCGGATGCGCCATCTCGAAAGATTCCATCCCAACTGGTCTCTGATTCTTGGGCACCCGCGTCTTTTTGTGCTGTGGCTTTAAAAAGGGAACAAAACGAACACAGATCCCGTAGCAACGGGAGTCGCTGGGCGCCCCGGGCACCCTTGGCGCCGCCTGGCGAGCCAAAGAGGTCAAGATGCTGGTTGCTTTGTTGTGTTAAAGGAACACCAACAAGAAAAGCACAATCTATTTCTATTCGTATTAAACTTATCATCAGTAGGATTTTTAGGGGGGGAGCCACCAGCTGACTCATTTGCAATAAAGATGCATTCCCCCCCCCCCCGCATGCGACACATGCCAGTAATCCACCCAAGGGTTCTTGAGGCTGGATTGCCCTTGAACATTTAGAGTGATGATGTACAAAAGCTGCATGAAAACGGGGACTTACTCCCTAACTTCTTGCGGGTCTAGAGTCTAGCGGTTAGGAATGGGTGCTTTTCAAGAAGGGGCTTGAACCCCGAAACCGCTCCAAAATGCGCCGTCCGTGATCCCTTCAAGTGGGGGCACAGCACCAGAGAATTGCGTTGCCAAGCAAACTGGTGCCTGTTTTCCAAAACTCCAGCTGCACCCTCCCCATTCTCAGGGATTATTCTCTTCAAAATATGGGCCGAACCTTTGGAGAATGGAGAATCAAGCCTTAGAAAAACACCTACGCGGAGTCACTTTGAAAGAGCAACTGCGTGGTGAAACCATGTGCCATGGAACATGCGGACAAGACAATGGAAATGCCTCCAACGGAAGTCCCTCTCCAAGCTGGGGCCAGTCTGCGTAACAGGAAAACTATACAAGGAAACCCAAACATGCAAAAGGACAAAACAACTGATCTAAGCTTGGCAATTGAAGTGCAAGAAAACCCTAGCTCCTTGAATATTGTTATATATGTATGTATATATATATATAGAGAGAGACACTATACATACATGTATCTATACATATATGGTATAAATATGTGCATATCTCTATATATATATTATTATAACGGGCCGTAGCGGAGGGACGGATCCATCACGAGTTGATACAAACCAAAAGGGTATGTGAAGATGGTGTTGGACCCTTGGAGTTGGGTCCAATGCATCCCATTCGCGAAATGATCGAAGAGCAAGAGCCTTGAGGACAAAGCTTCTTATCCAAGGTGGAGCCTTTGCACATCTTGGCTTTTCTCCTGGTAGCCTACAAGCAAGTTGTGGGGCTGCCTTTGTCTGTGGTTCGGCCAAGAGCAAAATTGCCCCACCGAACCCTTTGTAGACACATCGCGAAGCGTACCAGTGTTCACAGGCACTAGAGTCTCCTGTTGTTACACAAGATCCCAACCAACCAACCAACCAACCAACCAACGCAGTGCATTTGGTTTCCCCGCCTAGGGCCATCAGCGAAGGGCTCAGGCTCTTCACCTCCATGATGATTGCCTGCGAGGTTCGACTCGAAGACCCGAAACCTCTGGGAACAGTTTGGAGTGTCTTAGGGTGAATTCTAGGGTTCCCCAACGACCCCGACCGAGCAAGGAGCAAGCAGGAGCTTGCTGCAGCTCCTATGCGCTCAAGACGCATGGCTATACGTTCGGAGGATACATGTGTATACGCACAGAACAGATGTGGGCCATGGGCACACATTCAGAACACACCTGCACACAGGCGCGCACAGAAGCGTGTGTAGCGCGGAGGACGGGTGCTTCTTCAATTGGAACGCACGTGTGCATGCCCGAAACACACCGGCATCACGCTCACCAACAGCGCCAAGCACCAGCGTCCTGCAACGACCCGCGCCCTGTGTCACGCTTGCCAGTGTCACACTCCAATAGCACCTTGCAAGTCCCTGCATCCTGCGTCACGCTTGCCAGCGTGCAACAGCACTAATGTCCTTGTGACAATTCCTTGCTTGAACGACCCTTGCTCTCAGCTACCTGGGCAAAAGGACAGAAAGCACACACCTGTGACCGTATGGAGAAAACATCTCAGGCGCTTCGAGACCTGTAGCGATCGATGGACCGTGCCCGAGTCATGCCACGAAGCTTTCAAAACCACATCCCGATGGCAAAGGGCAACGGCTTGTAAATAATCCCGAAACAGACATTGGGAGGTCATTCCACCCAGCCATTGGGGGGTCCTGGAATGGAGAAAAAGAATGTTCTTGAAAGAGTCTGCTAGAAAGTCGCCGAGCTACAATCTGATTTGGCAGAAGGCACAACCTCTTCGCAGCTCTTCCCGTGGTACTTAAGCAACGCCTCAAACTGAAGCGCGACTTCGTCAAATCCATGCAAATGGGTTTGCCTCAAAATAATCCCAAAGAATGGTCAGTGTCCTCTTGGCTTCCAGGGTCCAAATTTGCTGGCAAGGCGAGCTCGAGATGGTTCCCTTGGGGAAGATGCCAGACATGTGGCGTCTGAATACCAAAAGTTCCTCAACCCCCTACCCAGAACCATGTAAAGAAATATAAAGGCAGCTGCACCCATTTATGCAGCTGCACCCATTTATGCAGCTGCACCCATTTATGGTTTGGACTATCCCTTACTAACCTTCATCTACGCGGGTTTTGATTGTGGCTCACGTGACGAACCCTGGCTTGTTGATACAGCGAAGACTACTTTTGCCTTCAAATTCCTTTGCTCCCAGACTCTCCCCAACTTTGGCATTAAAACCCTATCTGCTTGCCATTAAAGAACATTGCCCTTTTCCTGACAGCGCCTTCTTTCTTTGAGTCCAGACTCCCACCCCCCATTCCATTCTTCAGCTGGGGAGTCCTTCATGTCCTTCTCCATCTGTTCTCGCTCCTTCGCCACCGCGCGCCTGCTAGCAGGAGCCAGGAACCGGGGGACGCCCTTTTGCGCTACGCTTCAGGGTGGGGGCGCCGCAATTCCTTTCTTTCGGTGCGAAAAGGAAACCAATCTTTGCCCCTTTTGGGTGTCGCTCCTCTTTGGTTGATCTTGGTGCCGCCCTTTTGATCTGTTGCATGCCAAAGGTTAACCAAGCTTTGTTGCTTCTTTTAAGTTTTGCTTTTGTGTGCCACAGTTCTCGTATGGGTGCAAAAGGCCAACCAATCCTTCCCCCCCTTTTCTTGTTTTGTGCCGCTGTTTCGTTTTGGCTGCAAAAAGGCGCGACATTGGCCCTTGGCGAAATTCCTTGTCTGCGGCCATCGTTGGGGAAAACATACAACTTACATCCCTATGACTAATTGATCACTTCAAAGGGACTCCCTATGTGTCAAAAGCAGTTGAAACTCTCCACGTGTTACAACCATGTCAGCGGACCGGATGGCCATGATACTTGCCAGCGGTGAGGAGCTTCAGAGAAGGCTTCGCAAACGTTCGTTTGCCCAGGTACACCGCCACGGGTCTGACTGGTGTCCTTTACAAAGAACCAAACGGTGCACTTTTCAAGGGAAGTACCCCTGAAACTTCAATGTCTGACTCTTCCAAAGTGTGTGTGTCTTAGAATTGGGGGACCCCTATATTCAGCTGTGAATCAAACCCACTCCAAAAAGACGGCACAACCATCTAGGTATGTCGTGTTTCTTGGGGCACCAAAACCTTGTGGAGTAATCTGTGTGTGTTGTTTTAGGTTTGGCCCTTTGTGGAGTCTCTCTCCTTTTCCGGAAACAAAAAAGGGAACCAAGACCCTGCGCCATCTGGCCATGGCTCAACACCCCCAGAAAGCGCCCCTGGTGAACAAACCCCAGAAAGCCTTCTAAAAAGACAAAACAAAAAAAACAGCGGAGTGGAGTGGTAAGCATCCCCATTTGTGGCACCTCAGGTTTTGACCCACCACCATCTGCGGTGTTGGTCGTCCGAGGTCCCCAGCTCGAAGTCCCGGCGCTTGCCGGTGAGGTCCGCGGCCATGCGCTCCTGAAAAGGAGAGGCAGGAAGTGACGGGCTGCTCCTCCCTCTGCTTTTGGGGCGCCGGTTTCTGTAGGTTGTTTGGGGGAAAGTGATTTGGTTGAGACCCGTTTTTTAAGGAAGCCAGGGCTATGGGAAATTATTATGTTTTTATTGCAAAATTCATTGAAGGCCGAGATTTCCCCCAAGATCCCTCCAAAAGGAACCTGTTCAATTGGAAAGGTGATGTCTAAAACCAAAACAAAAGGAGCCTTGTGCAGAAGGGAACTTGGGTGCCTCCGTCTTTTTTTGGGTACCCCAAATTTTGGTTGGTTGAAGAGGGGAGTGGTTTGTCTTTTCATTGGTACCCCGCTTGTGGTTGGTACCCCCATGTTCGGTCAAGGACACCAGAAGGAAAATTCAGAGATTGGGGGAGGGCCGAACCTTTAAACAAACATACCCGAAGGTACCCAGAATATTAAAAGAACCTCAGATAGGGTGTCCTTTGGTGTCCCTACCCAACGCGGTCCCCGATTTTGAGACAGACTCCAATAAGTTAGAATACGCAACCAACTTGCATGTTCCACCAGGAAACTGGTCGGCGACAATTGGGATTACGCAACTGATTGTTACTCACTGCAATCCAATATTGTGCAAGAGCGGCAAGAAAAGAAGCAAGCGATGCAGTAACTCAGCTGCCGGCGAGCACGTCCTAGCAAGCCTCTCTTGCTGTCAGGTATTGTGTAAGAAGTGAGTTTGCCGAAGACAGTATCTGTCAGTAAGAACAATGGTAATCAGAATCAGCAGAGAGCGCAGCACGTCGAGATCTCTGAAGAACTGTAGTAAGTCTCTCCCCGAGCCCTGCGGTCGGTGTTCTTGAAGATTTCCACAGCACCCGCAACAGTACAACTGCAATATGCACGCATTCGGAGAAGTCACCCGTCTCAATGAAGGCAACAAGCAAACTGATCAGCCAGGAGTCCGTTCCGCCCAACCTTTGTGGGCCAGGCACATCTTACATCGAGTTAAATGGGGTGTCCCTGGCCTTGGTAGCTTTTGGGGTAGAACGAACCAAGTCGTGCGACCGATGTTTGGGATGCATTGTCGAATCCTACGCACTCCTTCCCTTGTGATTTTGACTGCAAATTCTTTCACTCAGTTGGACCCATGAAACAATATCTCTTAGCCAGCTAGAGTTTCCAATGGCCAATGTGTCAGTGCTTGAACAAAGCACCAGGCAAATGTCTGGTCTCTCAAAAATGCGCAAAAGGCAACTATATGATGACTATATGGCAACCATGATACCAACAACAACAGCAAAGCGAAAAGGCCCGCTCAGGCTGCGCTTTCTTCATTCGGGATCCTGTGGAAATCATTTACATGGCACGCTTCCTGAGTGGATTGGCCAAAAACAGGGAACCAAACGTTCTATTTACCACTATTTTATCACTAACATTGTCCAAACCCAAAAAGTGACTTAAATCAGGGAGTGAGATGGATTGTCCATCAACCATCTCAGGGGGTTCTCGTGAAGGAATTCATGGCCGCCCCTGAAACAAGTTCTTCAAACCCCACCGCCGAAACGCCGAAACGCCGCTGCGCTCGAATCGGTCGATTCCTCAGAGCGCTGGATGCCCGCGGTGGCGGTCTTGGCCACCAACTCCGTCAAGCTGCCCAGGCTGCTGATGGCCTCGAGAATCGGAGAAGGAGAAGCCGAGAAACGCCCGTCGAAACCCGCCCTCGGCTTCGGCTTCGGCCCCTCGACTGTCGATGCCTTTCTTTTTTGGGATTTGGAGCCCCAAAAGGGCGAAGACCACATGGGGATGGGGGTCCATGAGAATGTCTCACAGCATCGCGAGTCTTGTTTCGTGATCTCGATTTATCTTGGGCAAGGGACACTTTTGGAGGTAGCTGTGTCCAAACCCTGAATGATACTTCTGAGCGGAGTCGTGCTACCAGAAAGTGCAAAACTCCCCTGCTCTTTGGGGATCTTTGTTTATCAAAGGAAGAGCCGTTCCAGGGAATACTCCGATAAACCAGGGGAACTCGCAGGTTTCAGCAAAAGGAGTCGTCACCGTTGGAGTTGGATTTCCACGCCTTGCTTGGCAACAGGCCTAGGCCGCCGATCCGTTTCGATTGGTTGGTCGGTGAGGCAACCCTGGCGGCTTAGAATATCTTTTGTTGGGGGGCACCTTGTTGACCGCATGTGCAGCTTAGGCGAGCGCAAGCAATGGCCATGCTGCCAAACGACCGTACCAACATCAACCAAGTAAAGTTTCAAATAGAGGCCACGAATCCGTGAGAATTCCCACTCACGACCAGGAGGTCCTCACCGCACAGTTCCATGTGTCCAGCGGTGGAATGATCGTGTCTACTTCATATTGATTCAATGGCTTCTGCCCGCGGTTCATGGCTTCTGATCACACGCAAACAGTGGCTCAAAGCAACCGCATCCACATCCCCAAGCGCAACCGGGGCAAAGATTGGAACGCGAAAGCTGATGATCCAGGCCACCCAAGCCTAAAGAGGACCAAAATCGGTTGGGATGACCGGATTTTGATGGGTCAAAAGCCCAGAAATACCGTCAAACCATGGCGCAAAGGGGCAACAGGGATTTCAGGCGCTTCTCATGTGCATCCCGATGCATTCAGGCCTGGTCGTGCTCCTCTCGCATGTTGGTGAAGTCTTGAGCCTATGCCACTGGCAACTTTGTTTCGCCGCGCTTCAGAATTTGTTCTCTGCACTTTAGACAACACCCTGCCCTCGTACTTGAGCCATTTGGCATTCAATGGATTCAAATTTGGGGATTTCTCATACAATCCGGATCGCGGAGATGCATGACAAGGGATGGTTGTGCCCGAGAGTACGGGAGCACAACGACTCGCCTAGCTGGTGTGACAAAGCGTCATGTAACCGAACCAAAAAGCTATGGCTATGAGCGAATCACGAGCCACACATACTAAACTAGCAGAGGTGCCAACAAAAAGCTGCGCGAGCTCGGGCTCAGGAGATGTAGGGAGTGCTTGTTGCCCCTGACCAGAACATGCGCAAAGGCAAAAGGCCGGCCAGCTGGGTGCTTGGCAGTCAAAGCCAGCATCAGCAAATCTGATGAAAGTGCAAAGTCAACCAAGCAAGAATCTACGCTGAGCAGCCCAGAATCCGTGAGTCGTCGAAAACTGTGAGAAGTTGCGGACTGGTCGAGGGTGCTCACAACCTTCGACACTTCCAGCTGTACCCTGCGAAAAATGGAAACTGCATCGCACGCAAGGAAGCGCGACACATCAGTCAAGCTGGTGCGCATACCGGCGCCATGCCATGGTGGTTGACCGTTGGAATACCAGCAGCTTCCGTGTCTAAAGGATTTTATGCATGGGCCACAGAAAAAAATCCGCGTTGTGAAAAGTTGCGTCTGGAATTAATGGTTCAAGCCTGCAAGCTCCCATCAGGGGCATGGACCTGGAAAGCCGTCAGACCATGCGCCAAGGGCGAGAGAAGCTTGGGCCCAGAGGAATCCTGCATATTTGCCTCTCAAAAACCCTGACCATGCATGTTACAAGCAAGGATTTGAGCACACGCCACAAGACGGTTCTAAAAAGCTGGCCAACTTGACATGCTTTTTGACTCATCCCCGGCTTTGAAGAAGGCAACAAGCGACTTTGGCCGACAGAGCGTAACCATTAGGATGTTGCATTTGCGAGACTGTGGGATAAGGGTTTTGTGAAACGCAAGACTGTGGGAGGAGCAATTTCCTCACAAAACCATCGGGGGTGGTGCTGGCACATGCTATTGCGCGCGAGTTGTTGACAGCTAACCCTTTCAAACGGTTTCCCGCAAGGCAAAGGAACTTCCTACAACTCTCAATTCCTGACTTGAATTTGCAGGGAGGTGACCTGAGGGTTCAATGGCTCCGAACTACATGACCTGTACATAGCCTTAAGCTGCTATTTTGTGCCATCGATTTTTTCTCGCTCCGCGGTTTCGCTATGGGGTACACCGAAGCTACGTCGCGTACAGTATCAACATGATTAAGAGGGCCCTCCAATGTAGAGACCATATGAGCTGCACAAAATAACACCCAAAAAAAGAAAACCACAGACACACACACACACACACACACACACACACACACAACACACCCTCATGATATTGGCAGCTTGTTTCATCTGTTGCCAAAAGTGAATACGTGCTCCCTGCAGATCATACGTGGAATCCCAGAAAGATTGTAGGGAAAGGACCCACTTGTTTCCATCTATGACTTCGCGGAGTCCAATTGCAAATCACAACCAAGGAGCATTGGTGTGGGACCATGGCCAAAGGGGTCAAAGCGTGTACAAGGAAATGCTGTACAATGCCGTTCTCTGGGCCTTGTGTACAGTTGCAGGGAATTGGGAGCCCATACTGTGGTGCACCTAAGAAAGCCTGGAATGATGATCCCCTGGTAAATGCCAACAAACAATGGCTTCTCATGGTTTCAAAGTGGTGCAGGATTTCGTCCATCTACAGTACCCATGGCACCCTGTTCTCTCCGCAAGTGCAGCCGAAGGTGCCAAGCGAACAAGATCCTGGCCAAAGGCGCTGACTGCAGGTTCCCTTACTTAGATCATGATCAGTTGGTTCTCTGAACATGGTCATGTTACTCATGTGTTCTTTCAGTGAAGAAGGCCCCTCCCATCCCCACAAAAAGGTTCTTAGAACCTGCTTAGAAGGGTTCGTGCAGAATTCTGAGAAGGGCTCTTAGCGTTTCGACAACCTTGCTGGGGCCTGGCTTCTGGTCCGTAAAACGTGAACTCCGAATGAAACCGCAACCAAAGAAACCTGCAAGGCTCAGTCCCTTTGAACCAACCTCAACAAGGGTACCCCTACCAAAAGACACCCCCACAAGTTTTGAGAGTCTGTTTCAGAAGACACCTACAAATCTGAATTGAAGTCATTCAAGCTGGAAAACCCTTCAAGGAACCTGCACCGTTGAGCCCGAGCTGGTAAATTCCAACTTGGGTCACTGTGATTGCCATTCCCTGAATGTCAGGTTGGTTCACCGACAGGCCCAGAATTTTATCATACGTCACCCCTAATTGCTAGGTAGAAGGGAAACAACGCCCGTTTCTGATTTTGAGAACCCCCACCAGCCAAAATAACGACCCCATTGACGTGTTGGTAAATTGAGCCACCATAAATTCGAATCCGTAGCTTTCGAGAGCCTTCAAGAGGGCGCAAGTTTTGCCTAAGGTTCAAATGATGATTCCCCTGCAAGTACCAACAAACACCAGATTCAGCCATGGTTTGAAAGTGGTGCGAAATGGATTTCGCAAGCATCCACGTTGCCACTCTGAGTTTGGGTGTCCCCGCCCACCAAAAAAAGAGCGCTTCTTTTGGCATTCCCCCCCCAAAAAAAGAGAGTTTCTTTTGGTGTCCCCCCCCGAAAAAAAAAATGGGCCTTCTTGGGCGGGGGGGAAGAAAAAAAACAGAAGCCTGACCGGCCGCTCCTGGTTGGCCTGCAGGAGGGATGCCCGGAGCTCACCTGCTTTTAAAGGAGGGCGAGACGACTGGTGGCCGAACTCGGCAACCCGTGGCATGCGTTGTTTTCCGGTCAAAAAAAAACGCGGCTTGGTCGTTTTTGGTGGGAAGCTAGAACTCTTGGCTTCATGTTCGGAAGTTGGCCAACAAATATCTTGAGATAAGCTACAATCTGAGTCTTTGTGTGCTTTTCATGTAAGTGGTCAACTTAGAGATGTCTTTGTACTCCTGAAACAGTCAGGGACCTGGATGTCCATGCCGGGTGCCATCGTGCTATAGTGCCATCGTGGCATCGTGCCATCGTGCCGCCGTGCCGTCGTGCCGTCGTGCCCGCAAGATTGGTGGTTTTGGTTTTCCCTGTATATAAACCAATCTCCAACAACTAAAACGGTCGTCACTTGATCTGGGACCCCGTGCTGAGTTCTGCACCGCTTTCACCTCCACCTCCTCCTCCACCTCCACCTCGACCCTGGGAGCAGCAAAAATCGGCGGTGACAACGCGCCTCAAGAAATTCGCAGCTAGGTTTGTCTTTGAACCAAGGGTTTTCGCTGTTGGCGGGCAACACAAAAAAAGGGACGCGCCTGGATTTCGTGGGTCGTGCCTGAATGTCACATCCCGGGCATATTGAGACCGGCCTTGGCCGCGTAAAGTGGCAGGGTTCAAGAGAGCCATCGGTTTAAGGTGCTGCTTGTATCTCTCAAGTGCGCTTTGGGTGGCTAAACGTTTGGCGGATAATTGTTGGGTGCTTCGGCGGCTCTTTGGCTTCGGCGGCTTCTGCGGCTTGTCGGCAGCTGGCTTTTGGCAGCTGCTACTGGCCATCAGCTGGCTTGTTGGTTTGGTCAGGTCTTTGTTCTCTGCTTTGGCAGCTTTCCGCAGCCTTTGTGAACTCAGCGAAGCGAGCTGGACAATGCAAAAACTGGGCTCCGCCATCCGTCACGAGCATCGGGTAGGCTTCGGACATGGTTTCATGCTGGAGTCTTTAGACTCGATCAACAGCACCGGCACCTCCCGCGTCTCCAGACATCCGGATTGTTGTTTTCGCCGCCCATCAGCGGCCCTCCTGGTGAGCCCAACTGATTTCCTTGCAAACAGCATCGCGAGCCCAACATGGACGCCAATCCGCATAACCAACTCAATAAGCAACTCGCCCGACACAAGCAAAGCCAACATCTGTTTGCGGAAACCTGCAACAACTGCCGGGTTCCAAGCTGTCACTGAAGCAGGCGAAACAAATCCAAAGGCGGAATGCATTGCAATCTAACCCCATGTGCAGATTCAAACCTCGTTGGATTCCGGCGAACAACACCCCGTCCGGTTCAAGCAAAGAACCAGCCATCAAGAAACCTCAAGAAAGCTTCATCATGGCTCCCTTTCCAAACGATCTCATGTTTTCCCTTAGAAATCTGTCGCTCGCCGGGTCTTGGATCGATCCCTCGCGCAGCCCCCGGCGAGTCCCCACCAATTGGCTCTAGACCTGGAACCCATCGCAAGCCACCAGCAAATGGATCCCTCCCAATCCCAACAAGACATATGGCGTGGAATCCCATCCTCACTTCCTGAGTGGATTGGCCAAAAGAAGCAACCAAACTTAACTGTTTATTTACCACTCAAAGTGTAGTGTATTTACCACTCAAAGTGATTGGCCAAAAAAGGAACCAAACTGTTTTATTTGCCACGTCCAAACCCAAAAAAGTCGAAGTCCAACTCAGGAAGTGAGCACAGCCAGTCTCAACGTGCCTGGGCCGCCTGGGTGTTGCGCTCCAAGGTCTCCAACCTGCAGCGCACCGCCGCCATCTCCTGGCCGAATGGCCAAGCAACCCTTCCAACACTTTCTTTCCAAGTTGTGGTTCTGAACACACCTTTTGGACCTTTCCAAGGAAGCTTGTTTGGGTTGTTTGAAGGCCACATGCGCATAAGCTGCCCTTTTCCCCAATCAGGTCAGGTCGCATTTGGTCATTAGCCAGTGGTTTTCATCCAGCAATCACCCCGAAGGAACGGTTGGCAGGCCCCTTGACAATGAAAATGGATACAACCAGACTCAGGAATCCTGAGTGTTCAAATCGAACCACTGCCCCTCGCCAACACTGGAACAGGGTTTGGCAACAAGAAGAACGCCCTTCGTTCATCCAACATGTTACCCCACCAACTAACAGCCGCAACCGTTCGACGTTCGGGACGTCAGTCCCTTTAAAAGGAACATGTTCCAAGCCAGGACCCCTCGGACTTCGAACGGTTCCATGTGAACTGATGGGAGGGTGATTCACCAGCCACAGATGATCGGATCCTCAAGCCGACCGGGGGTTCAAATCCCGAGTTCAAAACTTCTGGCGCGCGTCATTGGTCCTTAACAGTTCTCTATATAAGGGAAAACTTCTCATGGTCTAACATCCTGAACGGTTGATGAACAACCCTAACAAATTGCGTCGGAAAACGGAAGAAAACCGGTAGAACCCCGTGGGAAAATCGTGGGAAACCCGTAGGGCCCTTTCCGTCCTCCCGACGCTTCGTTCTTTCATCGTTGACCTCCTGCTTGACGTCGCCAAGACCCACCTGACGCTTCAAAGTCGGCTCTCCCTCCAGATACGTCGGACGAACTAGGACCGAATCGAATCACAGGAGTGCCTGTTTGTTTGAGGGTACCCTTTGTGTTTGTGGTGGTTTGCAAGGCAAACCAAAGGGAAAACAGTGTTGGGGATCAAAAAAAAACAGCTCTTGGAATGCTGCTCAGTTCGCTACAGGCTGCATCCACAGACTCAGGGGTCGTCAAACTGAACTATGCATCGGGCGCTTGGGCACACCACACCTGTTGAACAGCTGTTTTCCGAGACAGGAAACGGAGCAGCGGCTTGGACACAAGGGTCCTACACAACCGCACCGGGTGTCACGGTGTCGCCGTTCTCGTGGCACAAATAGCAGGGCTTACCCATGAACCCGCGAAGAGCCGGAACACAACAAAAACAAGCCAAGAGAACCCCAAGAGAATCCCCAAACACCTCCTAACAAAAACATCCAAAAAACTCCCACCCAAAACAAAACATGCAAACAAAATCCCCAAAAACAACATCCCAAAAAAAGACCCCAAAAAGCCTAAAACCCACGAAACCCAAAATGGGCCTGAAAGCCCCAAGACGCTTCCCCGGCCTGGTGCGAGTGGTGGTCTCCCACCGTCTCCTCCAAGCGGCCCCGCAAGGCCACGGTCTCGGAGAGGTGGTCCTACCACGGGACCCAGGGGGGAAAGTGCCCGGAGGGTAAAGCGCCTAGACCCTGGAACCAATCAAGAATTTAATGGCTTTTTTGGGGGGATGTTTCTTCGGGGGATGTTTTTTGTGGGATGTGTTTTGGGGGATGTCTTCAGGTACCAGTTTTTGCATGGATTGGAACCAGCTATATATTTCAAAGTGTTATTTGTTCTTCTTTTCTTCCATGGAACCAGTTCGGGCTATGCACTCAGTCTGCAATATTCGCACTTATTGAAAAACATGAAGCCCAGAGGGCACAAGAGCGAACCAAAGTTATTCAAAAGAGCCACGCGCTCAAATTGTTGACGCCCCCGAGACTCGACGGAAAAGGAATATGGCAAGCGCAGCTCGGGGCTTTTAGAAGAGAAAGGACACTCGCAAGATGATACTTCCCACAGTGATACTGTGAACAGACAAATTACACCGCTGAAAAAAACTACGACCTTCCAATAGGCAAGCAAAACAAAAACACCAACCAACGCGGGCGTTGGCTTTGGACAAGGGGAATGGCTGCCCCAACGGGCTTGGCAGAAGCCACAAAACCCAAGCTGGCGGCCAACCGGCAACCCGGCGGCTCCTGTTTCCACTCCACAAGTTGCCTCTCTGCTGCCTCCTGCTTTCGCAGCAAGTCCAGGTTGGCCGCCTGCGAATGGACCGCCGGCGTTTTGTTAAGGCCGGGCGACGTTGTTGGAGCCTCCGCTTCCACGTTGTTGAGCGGTTTTAAAGCGAAACCAAAAGGAAAGCCGCCATTTTTAGGGTCCCTTTGACACATATCCATGAGACAGTCTACACGGAGCGAGAGCAGTTGGCTCCAAATTCCACAAGTGGCACACAGCCCATTTCGTCCGCATTTCCATCCCGATGAGTAACTTTCCATGGTATCTGCCAATGCCTCATTTCCACCTCTTGGAAGTTGCCCTCCCCCAATGACAGCTTCAATCGGCACGTCTGAGTTCGTGCGGGGGAATGGGAACACTAAGTCCAACCACGACAAAACCAAACGTCAACAACGAAGACGCCGCTTCCGCGAGCCGCGCAAACATGGGGCGATGCAAGTCCTTTCAGCTGGTCCATGGGTCCATGGGAGCCCCCAACCCTGATTGCCCCCCAAAAAAACATCCACCAGCTTGCAAACAAAACAAAAACGTTCCAAAGGAATTTTGTGGGAATGTTCAGCAAACACTGCGGCAAATGGCGTCCAAAGGCATCCAACGACGGAGCACATGAACCATTAGATCAAGCGTGACATGCCGGTCAACAGGAAGCCTACATGTGTTTAGAAAGGTCAAACATTCCAATAGGCAACGGATCAATCGCAAATAGCAGACCAAAGCCTGCAGCAAAAAACGTGTTTATACGAAAGAGAAGGTTGCAACCGCCGGCAAGACTGAAACATAAACAACCTGCCTTACAGTAAGCAAACCGGCAGGGTCGCCTTGGGTGTTTTTGCTCTATGACCAGCCCCCAATTTGACCAGCCCCCAATTTGACCAGCCCCCAGTTTGACCAGCCCCCAGTTTCCAGTTGCATCCTCCAAATTTCGACCTCCACGCAGCGAACGAACCGCGGAGTTTTGGGCGCCTCCATCTGCGCCACCGTGCCATGATGCTCGGAGCTTCGGCGGTCCAGCCTGGCGCGTCCTCTAAGAATCCAGCAAACCAAAGAAGGATTGACCCTTCCTCCGGCTAACATGGCACCATGTTGGGAGGTACCTGGAAGATGAATGTCCTTTTGAGGGAGCCCCTGTCTCAAATAATAAAAAAAGCAAGGTGGGAGGGAGGGTACAGGACATCAACTTGCTGTTGGCGGCAAATTTAATATATGGAAATCCGAATTGTTGTATTGAGTTCCGAAAGCTAGGGAAGTCCGGACTCCGCCGGCGCGACTCTTCCCGCATCGCCAGCATCTCCTGACGGAAATCGCGTAGTGCCCGAGTCATCTGTATAGAATATGAAGAACAAAAGCAAGTGGGTGTCCATCACTACTCCTGGTCCCCCAATGAACCTTTTTGGCAACTTAGTGGGAAAGTCGCCTTTTCGCGGTTTTCCCCAGCGTAAACCCATGTAAAGGACTTTTTGATCAACCCCCAAGTCGAACGCAGTGCATCCGCGTCCGCGGTCACATCGACATAAGGTAACGCATGGCTGGGTCCCGATTTGCAGCCCCAAGCCTCAGCCGACCCCGGGAAGCCACCCTTTGGAAGTCGTCAACGCAACATCAGGAAACTCCGAACCACCTCAGAGCGTATTTGGGCAGAGACCCCAAAGCTTCAGCGGATCAAGTTGCAATAATCCAGCCCTTTACAGTTGCACGTGCGCAACTGTGGTATTTCTCCCACGGCCAGCAAGAAAGCCTACTAAAAGCAATAGAAGTAATCTTCATTTCAGCAGGAAGTTGAGGTCTTCGGTGCAACCGGGTACTTTGTTGCGGGTTGTCTGGAGATTTCCGTCTCCTGCCGCAGCTCGGCGCGCAGCTGGGCCGCCTCCTAGATGACGTGGGGCTTTGTGTGGGGGCTGGGGTTTGGGGGGTTGGGGGGTTTGCTTGGGGGGGTTGGGGTTTAGGATTTAGGGGTTTAGGGGTTTAGGGTTTGGGGTTTGGGGTTTGGGGTTTGGGGTTTGGGGTTTGGGTTTGGGTTTGGGGTTTGGGGTTTGAGGTTTGGGGCTGCCTTTGAGACAAACGCCTCAAGTGAACTCTTAGAATTTCGACGGACTCCATGTACTCCATAGGACAAAGACATCAGTGGAGAAGTTCAACCCCATGTTGCAACGAATGGAATACAGCGCTGAACGCAAATGTCGGCCAAACTTTACCCAGACTCCCTCAAGCGCCCTTTTCAACTTCCAAAAAACCAGAAAATAACATGGGATGTACACAATTCACTCAATGGGAGCAGTTTGGCTCGTCAACGGATGCGTGTGCTGCGCAAACAAAAGACATGCAATCGACGACCAATCCCTAACGTACCCTGGACCCCTGACTTGAACTTGCCCCACAGCTCGAAAGCGTAAGGTGCTCTGCGGCAACGGCAAAATTGCGAGAGAAGGGAAGCACCGCATTTGGCAAGCGCTAGGTGCGGACTAATCCTTGTGTTCTTGGTACTGAAACGGCCAGAGGAAACCAGACAGTCAGGCCCAAGTGCCCTGGGACGCGATTTTCCCAGCGAGTCGCAGACAAAACGCTTCCAAGCTACACGGAAAGTCATGCCTTACGCCAAAGTGACCGAGTTCCATGACCGTGGCTGCTTTACCTTGAACTGGCATGGCTACCTAGCACCCCGTGTTCCACACGGCTCCCACTCAGTCAAACCATCCCTCGTGCCTGCAAGGAGCCCCCCGATGCGTAGCGAAAGTCCTGCCGAAAGACAACTGGTGAGGACCCGCGGATGGATTCTGAAGATGGACCCAACATTGTAACATGGTGGTTTGCCCCTTGCCTCTTTGCCTCCCCCTGCCGAAAAGGCAACCCTCAACAAAGACGAGGCAATGAGACTGAAACGGCCAGCTGTTTTCCAGGTATTCTCTCCAATGTTTTATTCGGTGTCTATTGCGAGCCCCCAGTCGGCCCAGACTGATGATCCAGGCGAACGATACACATATATCCTGAGGAGCTTCTGGAGACACGGCCAACTTCTTTCATCTGCGTGAACGACTGTGGTTACACAGGAAAGAAGGAACCATCCTTAGATAAGAAACATGTATCATCGCCCTCGAGTGGTGAGTTCGCAATATGCACGGATCTCTGGGAAAATCATAAGGATTCAGCAACCTGACATGAGGCAATGCCAAAGAAAGCCACCTTCATCACGAGAGCCCTGCAGCTGTTTGCGCCCAGCACACCCGCCAAGACCAAAACAGGACTTGATCGAGAAGGGGTCACTGACGCCACCAGCGGGATGACAATGGTATTACACCACCAACACCACCACCACCAACCACCGCCACCACCAACCACCACCACCACCAACCACCAACCACCACCAACCACCAACCACCACCAACCACCAACCACCAACCACCAAACCACCCAACCACCCAACCACCCAACCACCCAACCACCCAACCACCCAACCACCCAACCACCCACCCACCCACCCACCCACCCACCCAACCACCCAACCACCCAACCACCCAACCACCCAACCACCCAACCACCCAACCACCCAACCACCCAACCACCCACCCACCCGCCCGCCCACCCACCCACCCACCCACCCACCCACCCACCCACCCACCCACCCACCCACCCACCCACCCACCCACCCACCCACCCACCCACCCACCCACCCACCCACCCACCCACCCACCCACCCACCCACCCACCCACCCACCCACCCACCCACCGCCCACCACCGCCCACCACCGCCCACCACCACCCACCACCACCCAGCACCACCCACCACCACCCACCCACCACCCACCACAACTACCACCACTACCACCACCACCACCACCACCCACCACCACCACCACCACCACCACCACCACCAACCACCACCACCACCAACCACCACCACCAGTACCACCACCACCCACCACCACTACCACCACGACCCACCACCACCACCACCACCACCAACCACCACCACCAACCACCACCACCAACCACCACCACCAACCACCACCACCAACCACCGCCAGTACCACCACCACCACCACCACCACCACCACCACCACCACCCACCACCACCACCACCACAACCACCACCACCAACCACCACCAGCACCACCACCCGGGTGCCACACCCACCAGAAGTCACCGGCACCTTGACTCAACTAGTACTACGCCCAAAGCGCGAGGCTCTGGTGCGAGGCTCGTGGTCCACCAGAGTCTCTTTGTCCCGCAACGAAAGCTGTGGCGAGGCGCGAGTCCGGGACCCGCTTTGCACTAGACCAATCGTCTGCATGGTTGTGGACACATCCAGCTGGGGCTAAGGACCCGCTGGGTTTGGAGTAATCAGCGGTCGTTCCCCCAAAAGTGAGGGCTGCATCCCCTCTAAAATTGGAAAACCATGTTAGAGAAAAAAGAACCACCATGATCAACTTGAAGTTGATTGATCCTGGGTCCCATGAACATCAAGCAGGGCGATGTACGTTTGGGCTGGTTCGAGCCACCCCCACCTCGGGCGATTTGGTGTCGAAGACTTCCACTCGGCTTTCCAGCGTGTCACACCTCAACGCAGGGTTTTTGTCTGCAAATAGGATCTAGAGCTCCCAAAGTTGGGCGCGGCTGCCCTACGAATTCCCTCTAAACCTGGTCTCCTTTCCAAGTAGAAACTCTTTTCCTGGTTGCAAGAGAAATAAAGGGAAACCAAAAAGGCAAAAAATGCCCCCGAGGTAAACTAAGTTTGACAAAGGAGCGGCTTTGATACGGCCGAGAGTGCGATGCCATCTGCTCCCTGAACAATTCCACTACAACACGGACATATCGAATCGGCAAGTACAGCAGCCTCCCTCCAAAATCAGACCTTGCATGTCCACCTTCTGTGTATAGCTTGGGTGCGTTGGATTGCGACATGGTCTGCCCAAATCAATTTGCCCTGCGCCAAACCACCACAATCTGCATTCGGTCGTCCCCAACCTGAACTATCCCTGAGAGATCGTCATCTAACTAGTGCAGTACAATAAGAAGCCACCAAGTAGCAGTGACAAGCCAGTGTTGAATTTTGAACCTGGCCTACGAATCTGTAAGGGTACCCTTTTCTCTGTAGTCCATTTTAGTAGGGGAACCATCCCCAAAAAAAGTTGGTAAAAGGGCACTACTGGGGGACCTAGAAAAGCGAGCCAGGCCAACAGCCATGATCCCAACTGTTCGATTTGACGCGCGACCATACCCCGGCGCGAGATCTACACCGCCTGCGTGCGAGTCTGGAGCTAATCCTCTGACTTGCCAAAAGGGGAGGCGCACGGGAAGGATGGCAACAAATCAGTGTTACACTGAATTCGTACATCATAAATCATTGTCACCAAACAAATCTTGTTTGAACTGATCCAATTGGATCGGCGGGAACAAGCCATACCCGGTATATATGGGACTGGAGGCTGGGGAATGTTGTTGCTGCAGCCTGTCTCGCTGCCTTTTGAAAAGGATTCAAAAGTCACGTTGGGCCTCTGCGATGGTGCGTGCTTCGTCCTGGATACTAGTAGTGCTTGGGCGCTCTCGGTAGCAGCTAACATCCCCAGCATCACCTGTGCTTTTGTAAAGGAGAAGTTGTTCGTCTTGCTACACGCAAATGACACTGTATTCCCCCCCCCCCGCTGTCGCTGTTGCTGTGCTGCTGTTGCTTCTGTTGCGGCTGTTGCTATTGCTGTTGCCTGTGCTGGTGCTGTTGGTGCTGCTGTGGCAGCAGTTGGTTGGTGGCTTGGTTGGCTGGCTGGATGGCTGGCTGGGTGGGTGGGTGGGTTGGTCGCGCGGTGTTCCGTTTGGTCGGTTGGTCGGCTTGGTCGGTTTGGTCGGTCGGTTTCCGCGTGTGGTTCCTTTTTGTCATCATTCCCTCCCCCCCTCCGCCCCCGCCCTCTGAGCCAAGGGCCGCCGCTGGAGCCTCAAAACTGACTGGAGGCAGAAGCTGCATGCGGATCAGTCTGATGAAATGAAACTGAAGACGCTGATGCGGACATGGACGAAGACCTCAAGGGTTGCTCACAACCAAAAGTGGGGCGCCCATTGGGATCTCCTCAACATATGGGCGGAAAAGGATTGCTCCAAGGCAAGTTCTGGACATCTCAAAAAAAAAAAAAAACGGCAGCTCGTAAACGGTTTGATCCCCTTTTGGTTGCCGGGAATCCCACCATGGCCAACTTGAAACCTAACGGGCTGGAAGATCTAACTCAAGGGACCTGTCAGGTTCAGGGACAAATCCGGTCTCAACATTCTCTCAAGAAATCATTGCCCCAACAAGTTTGCGGTGCAATCATGGACTTCGCACTCGTGTGACTCGCAACAAAAAGTACAACCAGAGCTGAGCTTCGAGCGTGTCCGAAGCGGCCATCTGGCGGTCGCAGTCCCGGATCGCAGCCTGCAATGACAACCCCCCTTCAACAAGCAAAGAACAAGGTGGATGTATCTACCTCATGAACAACAAGCAAACTCCCCACAACAAGGTGGAGCAAGAACAGGTGGATGTTTACCCAACGAAAACACACACCTATTTTCGGCTTCTCCATGTTTAGTGAGGCTTCAGCCCCCAGTTGGTGCGGAAACAGCAAGCGAGAAGCACTTGAATAAGCTCAGGCGATATCCCGACAGCATGCGGTGCTCTTTTTAGTGCTCGCACCGCCCCGCAGCTCTCGCAGAACCTAACCGATTGGCTGTCTTTCCCGCGGCTTCGGAATCCGTTGCCTTTGTCCTCCAATGGGGCATTAAGTCTCGGAACATTTGAGTCATAGTCAAAATTTGGAGCTGGTCTACCCAGGACCATGTGAAGGTTTGTCAACAGTAGGGGCCCTTTTTGTATTCCCTTTAAAAGGCGGCACAAGGCGGCAGGTCCCAAAAGGGTCCATATTCTTGACAACCCCCCATGGGAAAAAAATCCGAAGCTGGCTGCACCCATTTGTGGTTGGGATTATCTCTTACTAACCTTCATCTACTGGGGAGTTGATTGTGGCTTATTAGGGTATGCGTCAGAATTAACCCACCAGGGCAGTCCTGTCCACTTTTTCCGGTTTCCATGTTGGGTGCCTATTTTTGACCCGCAGCCTTCCATTTGCCCACGCCTGGCAAAAAAACTGCGTC